TAAATTTGTATAGTATTCATATTTAACGACATATTCTCTGAAATGTTATCTTTATACTTACACTGTGTTAAGTTTAAAGTTTAACACACAAACGGATACAATTTTTGCAACTGTTGTCTCAATGTCAGGTCAAATTTGTAATATTTTCTGTATCTATCCTATGTACATGTCATATCTTTAGGTAGATAAATAATAAAAACAAATAATCGTAATATTTATGATACAACGACTTAGATTTAATGATAATTTTAATGAAATAATTATTTTGTAATGGCCAGTTACGTGGTTGTATTTTAGTAGTGAACATAGATACAACCTCGTACGTCACACCGCAAAAAGAACTCTACGAAGAAGATGGATCGAGTGTACCTCACCGCTAGTGGTCCACGTTCGACTTTTGTCCTGTTTTACCTTTGCTCTGACTGTACCAACATGTTTGCTTTGATTTAAGTTACCTATTTTTTCGTGATTGGTGTTTTCTATTGAATTTTCTTTATTCGCATAGTTATTAAATATCTGACATTTAAATATTTACAAAATACTTAAATGTCATGATTACTATATATAGGTAGAGTTACTAGATAGGTACTAACTATGTTATTTGTGTCTGTACGTATTAGCTTATACGCAAAAACAAAACATAGTTTACATATTCAAAGTAAGACACTGGCTATAATTTATTTTATTGTATTGCAATAATAACAATGGAAGTAACTTCTACGATTAGGTAGGATAGGTATCACTTATTAATATCGCATTATAATATAATGTCCTACATGAATAAATTATTTTTGGTATGATTTGATCATACTTTTTTCTTTGATTTTGTCTGCTTTATTGAGATAAAAGATAGCCTATGATACTTACTTAGTAATATCACATTGATTAAACACAAAATACTATGTTTAAAATAATTTGACAACGAAAAATTTTTATCTTATATCGATAGTAGCATAGTGTAGATTATATTATTTATAATTTATTATTACAGTATATGTTGGTATATATTAGATACCTTCATTATGTATTTAGCTACAAATATGCCACTGTTCCTATTGGTTGAATAAGACCCTGATTTAGTTGTTTCAATAACTTGGAAGTGCTAAAATTTTATTGTTCCAGTGAAAGCAAGGTAACATACGTATCCACAGGTGTGCTGTATATACAATATATGTCATATCAAAAGTATTATAGACATTATACCAACTAAATCAGGAAAGGACGTTTATAAATTTCTTTTAGATATTTATAAATGTATCTGTAAGTTTCGGATAGATAAATAAATGTTTTATATAATTATATTTCTTACATCAATAAGATACCATTTCTTACTCTGAATTAATATTGATTTTAGGTGATACCTATTAGATCTTTGTGTTATATAGCTATTTAAGTTTAATATAGTTCAAATATAGTAAACATTTATTTAGATTAGTAAAATGTCAAATTTGATTATGAATAGGTTGATGGTCTCGGTGGTCTAGCGGTTTAGCACATCGCTTTACTAGCGAAGATCGCGGGTTCGTTTCTTCGCACCTACAAACATTTGTATTCGTGAGTATGATTTTTGGTATCCGTCTGGGTGTTTTCTATACGTAAGTAAAAAATTAAATTCACATTTGAAATTGAATTTAATTTTTTATAAATACTTATTATTTTGTTTAAATACTTACTATTTAAATATTAAAAAAAAATTAAGTATTTATGTCACTTGTCTAGTACCCATGACATATGCTCTGCTTATCGTGGCACTGGGTTAATTGTCCACGTTTTATTTTTAATACATTATAAGTATTGTATGTAAGTTTGCTACAGGTAAACTAGATATTAAATAAAAAATGACAATCTGTCTATTGTTTTGTGAAAAGTTAGGATCAATATAATCGGAAACTTGGCCATCGGTTGCAAAGCTTTGATAATAATCATGAAGCATTCCAGCGAAAAAACTTGAAGCTCGTCGCTTACTCGAAAGCTACTTAGCAAAGAATTGCCTCACTCCCACAGACTTGCATTTAATGCACTATCAATTATAGTGCTAATTTATACTCTGCGTACAATACAAAGAAGGTGTATAATCGGTTGAGTTGTTATCGTCCCGCCTACAAGGGGCGTCGTTCCCCCTCTGTCGATGGCATAGAGTGCGTTCACACGACTTGCTTACTTTTAAAATTTAATCACAACTCGGTTGTTGATTTGGAAAAGAGAAATATGTGTTCGGTGATGAGTAAGCGAACAGTTATATAACAGCAAATAAATTTTGTCATAATTAAGTTAAAATTTATTTGTATGTAGGACAATGTAGAGATATACACTTAGGAATTTAATTTAATATAATATAGTAATTTCTACCTAATATAGACTCAGTTGTCTGCTTGGATGACTCCGTGAATTATTTCAGCCGCTAAACAGTTTGTTTTGTAAGCTGTGTTTAAGTTGTGCTATAAAATTAGACCGTAAAATGATTTGATAAGAGGCATTCCATCCCAGCCTTCGAAATGTCATTTATTTAAAGATTACAGGCATCACACACGATATGATAACTGTGGTAGTTGCTATCAGGTGGGCCGACACGTTTTGTGCCATTCCAATTAGTTAAATAAAAAGTAAAAAATATATATGCACTATAAAATTAAAATTACATAGGTAGGTACACATCAACTACTTAAACTTACCTTTACCATAATGTGTACAGCTATATTGTAACGAAGTACAGTAGCAATCAAAGGTATCTACCGTTAATTTGCAATTAAGTATATTAAATCACACACAAATGTCATGCAATTTCTACGTCAACTTTCTATGTTAATAATTAATGTGTTCATAATTTCCCTATCAAATTAATCCCTTTAATTAGACAGTTTACATTCGTTTTGTATAATTTTATATACCATGTTAGGAATTACGAATTTCATTATTAATAAAAATATTCATAATCTCTCACTTCTACTTCTTGCCTAAAAATAACTTCAAAATCGTCGGTACAAATTATACAGTCGATATTGAAGTTAACATTTATATTATATTAAATACAATAATAGCAACAAATATGTATAAATGGTTTTATCTTATTAATAACTTGCAAATTGACTTAATATACTTTATTATGGAAGACATTGTATGAAAAAAGAGTTTAGAAGCAATCTTGATAGTGAACTCATTTTAAAACTTAAGTATTTACAAGAGGAGATTCCTTTAAATAGAACTATACTTAGTTGATTATATTTAAGTAAAATTCTTTGCATTTACATTCAGCAAGTACCTACTACCTTGCCTTGTTTTTTACCTTCACATTTGCTAATAATTATATTTTGTATTGTTAAAATATAATATAATATCTTATTGCCTGACTTAACCAAACTAAAAGGTCTAAAAGGAACTATATAAACCATTTTATAATAATGTTTGAGCCTTACAAATTTTGTTTTTCATACAACTGGAAATGAAAAATTGATAGAGCAGATGAAATCCTAATTAGCATCACGATATCTCAAATTGCAATTGCACGTGGTAAAGCTTCTCATCGGTCTTTTATCCAGTCTCATACCTACTTGAAAAACTGAGAGATTTTATAGTTCAATACTCACTAGATTAATACTATCTGGTATTGCAATCCTGGAATCTGTATAACAGATTTATGCAGTAACTTTAATCAATAAATAACAATAACAAACTTAAATTTCAACCTGAAATTACATATGATAAACCAAATTGATTCGAGATTTGCCTCCAGTTATGATGAACACAAATATTCTTAGCACATCAATATAGTCATGTTAAGTGTTCCGTTTACCACAACGACGGCAGTTGACAAAACATTTTACTATTCCACTTCAGATTACAGTCGTGGGGATCACAATATTCATAGATAAATTAACGGCAGAAATAAATGAGGAGACAAATCGTTCTGTACAAAATGTCTCTCTACTGATTCTCTAAAAATAAACGAAATAATTAATACGTTTCGTCACAATTCAAGAATCGAGTGCTATTTGTGTGGCTATTACCGGCTCGGCAGCGATAAGTTTTACTGCCAAACGACATGGTTAGTTTGATCTCCTCGCACATAATAAATTATATTATATACCAAACTGAAAGTCTGTAAGTTCAATTTTCCGCAAATTTGATCTAACTCCATAAACGTGGGGGTAATCTCGCGGGATTGATGGCGAGTTGATTGCTGGCGCAGTTTCAGCCTCCTCTAGGTGTGTCGCCGGTAATGGTGTTTATAAAACTTTTCTAATTGAGCGTTCAATGTTGGTTTCAATCATACCATATAGGTATTTTTATTTAGATTGCGTTTTTAATGTAGTCTTAATTAAATACTACTTGAGGTGTATATTTACCAATTTACAACAATAGATAGGTGCAAAATTAAAAGTAGAAAATTGTTTATTGAAAGTGTGTCTATTACTGTTGTGTATTACTTACATGTATTGATAAATGGGTACCTACATCATTTACTTATTTAAATAAAATTATTTAATTAACTAACAGCCTAATATTTCAGAGTACTGAAATTTAATTGTTAGTTACTTATATGCAAATAAATCTTTTAAAAGAATAAGATAATTAGAAAAGTACACAAAGTAGACTTATAAAATGCTTCTTGTTTTGAATGAATTAAGCGCCAGTTTAAATAGCTATAGCAGTACAATAACCGCAAAGATTTAAGTCGTTTCAGTGGTAAGCTTTCACGGTGGAAATAGTGATGCAAAGCATCGGCGCAGCAAATAATACTAATAAATACCACGATACGATCAACTCACCGTTTAACGAGAGAGCCTTTTCCGCGCCGTGGCGAGCCATTTAGCGAATTTCAATAGTTATCGCGCGGAGAAAAACTCGCTCATCGAGAGGGACGGGTGCAAAGAGTACTATCAGCGCGAGCGGGACAGTCGCAATAAGAAAGAAGTAATAAAAAAACGGTTGTGTGTGCGTGGTCGGAGTGTGGTGGCATAGGGCGGCGATGCAGGCCCCTCCCTGTGGCGCGCCGCCTCGCTGCCGCCTCAGTCGAGTCCACATCGCGCCAAGTCGCACCGGTCCGCTGCCACAGCGCCACCACCGCGCGTAAAAAGTTTCTACTACTACGAAACTTGCGAGCGTAGTGATAATACTCCTAAACTCAAACTAAATATATTTGAAGTAGAATTACAATACTGTGACACGTAGCTATAGGACTGCATTTACTAGTTTGTGTTACTTACATAAAACCTGTGTTTTTTTTTATATTAGGTAAAAAAATCTGTAGCTACGAAAATTTCAGATAAACTCTAAATACAATTCCACACTGACTTCTTAATTTTTGCTGGAAATATTTTGAATAAGTGGCTGTAGACGCAGGCCACGATAGCGTCGAGACGCGAACTTTCAAGCTTAAGATTGCAAAGACTATGTCCTGTGTCATCGATGGGATGTTCAGACGGTGACAGCGTGTGGCCAGCAGGCGGCAGGTTGGGATCGGAGGCAGTCAACTTGATGCTGCTTCAAGGTGAAGGGAGAGAGCGGCAGGGGCCCGCCATGGAGGAGGACTGCTCCGCGCGCCCCTGTGCCACTGACTTCTCCATTGCTGCTATAATGGCAAGAGACAGACAAGAAAGACGGGAGAGACGAAGACACAGGGACCCTCGTGAAGACACACTCACTCCCTTAGGTAACTATCGCCATAATTAATTATTTGTTATGTAGTTTAAAAAGTTTTAAGTAAACGAAAAAAAATTCCAACTGTTAGCTCAGAGGAGGAAGTATTTTTTCCATGTGTAACTTGTGAGATATATTCGTCAAACTAAACTGATATTGATAATTGTGTTTGTAACTTATAAGGTCAATATTTATATTGTCATATTTTGGTTGTAATTATTATTTATATTTATGCAGTAAAATATACTTACCTGTATTTAAGAAACAGATACTAACTATACTATAGTGCAGTATAATAAATGCTGTACAATAACTACCTACACAATTATATTGTCATCAGTTTGTAGGATGTGCCTTGGTACTACACCACCATGCACGCAATTTCTGAGGTCTAAAGAATTTGAGCAGTATAATTTATATATTTATATTATAAAAATATATAAATTTTACTTGGACGTGGAGCAAAAACTTTTTACTCCTATTTACGAAAATTAGAGTGTAGAATGATAATACTTTTTTTAATTAAGCATAAAAAATACAATAAATAAATAAAAACATTAAACCACTACCATGTACCAAACATTAAATCATTTCACATATACACGCTTATATACTCTTTTGTTTATTGTTAAGAATATGCTTATGTTGAGAATAGATTAATATTATAGTCTTACTGTATGTTAAATTAATTATGGTCGTATTCGACAGTCATGATATTTTATTTATATTGAGTTCCTAATTTATTTATTTAATATAATTATTAGATCTGTACATACTAACTTGTTTGCTTATTGGCTTTATTCTCGTAAACTAGTACAAACAATAGATATTTAATCAATGACATGATCTTATCAATCTAAGAAATACTTAGTCCAGTGTGTATATATATAGGTACATTTAGTCAACAAATATGGTTACAAATTTAGAACTTATAATAAGTAGGTTTTATTAGGAATATGTTAATATATTTCCGAATATATTAGACATATGCACTTTCTAAATATTATGTTGAGAATCTTTTAAAAAACGTATGAGTATTAATATTATACTACTTGAGTTTCTTGCCAGTCCTTTTCAACAGAATCGTATTGTAAATATAGTAATAAAAAAATTAGACGTGGATAAGAGGAAAATCTTTTGCTTTGGTTTCGATCTTTCAGACTATGTATAGGTATACATACATAAGTATTTTAACTATTAGTTTTATAATCGCTACAATTGATATATAAACATATACCTATGTGGATCATTGTTCTGAATCGGTCATATCTAGCGAATTTTATACACACATTTAACATTATACTTTTATCATTCCTATCATTCTTAAGCTGCGAACTCATAATAAATAATCATCGCGGACTGCCGCGAAAAGAAAATTTAAAACTGAAAAGTGCACTATTCTATTTGATTACATTATCAGTCATTTTAAAGATACACGGTTATAACTTTTTAACTAACGTTTAATTTATACTTAATAATATTTGAATTAAAAAAATAAATAAAACAGTATTTGTAAATGTAGTCGTATAACAAGGGCATTAAAGTTAGGATAATCACTAATGATTATTATCAAATAAGAATTTCTTATTACAAAAGATTCTCATTTGAAACTGATTAGAATTGTCAATTTACGTATTGACAACTTTAGTAACTTATAATTCCAACTTATTTAAAATAAAAAAATGCAGCAGTGATGGATTAATATTATTGCCTTAAAAATAATATAGTCAAATAACCTTAATATAAACTTATAGTATAAAATGCGTCATTAATATTTAATTTAATGATACAAAAAATATACGCTTTTGCATTCTAAAAATTGCTAATTATTTTCATTTCTATTCAGATATAAAATGAATTACAATATAGGTAATTTACTATATATTCTGATATAGTAAAAAATATATAGAACTAGTAGTGTATTGATTAACAAAATAGTTTATATTTTTAGGCCGCGTGGCTTTGTTATTTTTAATTTATTATGCTACTATTTCTAGTAGAATTTAATATTATATTTTACTTATAATATACTAATTTACTAGAAATGTAAATATATATGAACGGTTCTTATTAGAAAATCTTTAATCACCTTATAACAATGACATAATAAAGTTGTTACAGAGAGTATAGATAATTCGCTGTCAAATATTTTATCATAATTAACTTTTCATATTTTTTCATTTTCACTTTCGTATATTTTTAATAGATAAGTAGTTAAAATTCAAATTAAAAGCTGACAGTAAAATCAAAAACTCATAAATTGTAGGAATTTGTTAAATATCATAACAGGAAATTCCATATTGATAAAGGTGAAAGGTTTAAGAATGCGATGATTGTGATTATTATGTATAGAAGTTTTATAAACCACAGGTACGTGGTGAGTCTATTAAATAAAAAGAAAAAGACGAGATGCTAAACAATTACCGTTCTATTTTTGATAAAATAACACCTGAAGTATTGAAAGGATAGATTACCACATGACAGTTATGCATTATGATATTTTTTCACCTATATACCTATTTAACATAATTTTACAACGTCTCTTCACATTTTCTAATTGTCTACTACATGTATTAATTCCTTGTAAGTAGGTAACTTTAATCCCGTTGAACTATTAATACTATATATCATAATTATACTATGGTATATTAGTATTGCCTTCGTCATCCTTCTACCCGAAACCTTATAAACGAGTTATTAGCTAACACTACCAAAATTGTACCAACAATCTAAATTATTCAGCTCAATCGATCCGTTTTCACCCATTAGTCCGATTCACACAGGAAACGGAAATATAGTAGATAATGCATTGAGTATTAACACATAACATAGACACTTACTGGTAGACAGCACGTTGATTTTCGATTCCGGACTCGATTCTTGATTCGGCCAAGATATAGAACTTTTCTACATCAATAGGTTTGAGTTACTTGAACGTTCGCAAAATTATTTATTTTAGCTTGCTTTTGCAAATTATCTATTTGCTTCGACGTGACGTTTCTTTATTTTTAAATGGTGTAGTGCAAATAATAACTGGTTTATGTAATATATAAATACGAAATTAATTGATATGTTTAATTTTAGTAATTAAAATTAAACATATCAATTATATTATATAAAATACTGGCCAGTTATAATATTTATGAAAAATAAAATAATAAAACTAAATATATAAATATTCCAATTTCAAATTTCCCTCCATTTTTTGAGAGTAAATTTAAATATAGTGTTAAAAAAAGCTAGTAATTAGCATTTAGTCGCTCAGTATCTTATTGAAAAATATGATCCATCTCATCATCTCTCAGGACTACGTTTGCGTAATAGCCTGCATACTGTTTTTGTTACATTACTATTTTCGTGCACATTTGTGAGTTTTATTTACTAAGATGTATTTTCGTTAAAAGATGAAATTATTATTGTATCATACATAGGGTAAAGTATGAGATGTAGTCGTCCAGAATGATCTGTTTGAGGACAACCACTGGCGTCACATGACTACGTGTTAATGCTGTTATATATGTAGGCGGTGGTTGAGGCCACTTACCATCAGACGGCCGTCGGCTTATTTCTGTTGTGAAGTTATAACATATGTCTGATTTGTAGGGTTTTATGAATAGTTTAATATGACTTTATTATGACATCAGCTCGACAAAAGTTGCGATTATATCCAATTTCGTTGAAAATTGAGAGAGTCTATCCCTTACAAAATTGTAATATTATTTTCAGAGAAATTTGTGGATGCAGCTGCATCAGCCTCTGGATCACCCTCCCCTCCACTGGCGGAGTACGAACGTGACTCCCCAGTGGATGTGTCGTCAACGTCAGAGGCAGGCTCGGCGAGCGGCGCAGCGAGCGGCTCGCGAGCAATCTCCCCACCTCCAAGGAATCCGCAGCTTGTGGAGCGATGGTCGAGCGAAGATATGCGGCATATACAATGTCACCTCGAAACGAAGGAACTATGGGACAAATTCAATGAATTAGGAACTGAGATGATCATCACAAAAACTGGAAGGTAAGTGATAATATTGAATCTTATATCTTATACATAAGTGCTAATAACACCGTGATTAGAATGAGCAGATCTGCTCTAGAAACTAATTCAGATCCATCAATATTGGATTGCGTCGTTTCGTACCTTTTCATGTTCTACATAATATCATATCTATTAATACTTCGAATGTTTTGGACATATTTATTTAAAAAAAACTGTATACTGAAATATAGTAAGTCATTTGTTCCTTACAAAGTAAAAGATTAATACGTAAATATATATGAAACTCCACATCCATAACTATTTAATACACAAAAACTAGTTAAAAATTATTTGAATTTCGTACATACAGTTTACTGTAAGTACTTACTACTTTGAATTTTTATTAACAAGCAAGTACAATTAGAATATTTGGTTGCAAATTAACATTTTACCATTGATTTGCCACCCAGGATAATGTTGCGCAGTAATAAAACACCACTTTCTGACTATAATCGGTTATGTAAAGAAATAATTGTGGGCCATAAAACTCGGCGGACGGATATCGTATCGAGTGGAGTAGTCAACGGGTCGTTTGGTTATTTGGCATTGTCCTAAACTTGCCGGGAAATTAAAAACTGCAGTGGGTGTCGTTAAACTTGATTGTCGGTTAACGAGATCAAGGTAGTACTGGGAATGCTCTCAGGCGATAAGGTAGGTGGTACAGTGGAGGTATCGGCGCGAAGCGTATCGGTCGCGGCGCGCGGACAAACAATGGGTAATCGGGTGTAGTGGTTGCTACCGTACGGCTACCGCTCATGCGGTGGTCCCAAACGATCATACTTTGCAATTGAAATGATATTATTATATGTCATGCAATATCGCACTGAATCCTGCTTTAAATATAAGCTGACTTGTAAATATGTTGTAAAGTTGTAAATTAAACTACAATATTATATTCAATACTGACTATGTATACGTAAATTTTAATATTTATCTAATAACTAGCTTCTACACACGCCGTGAATGGTCTCGATATTTTCAGCTTCATCTTAAAAGTAATTGTAGGTATTGCAAACATCATATTATAATTAGTAAAGCCGTAAAATAATAATGTTAGGTTAAACTATGTATTACTTAAGTTGATAATGACAGTAGAGGAGAAGCAACCAAGGACTTCGAAAGTATCATCTCAATATCATTAATTGACCCTTGCTATTGATTAATTCAATCTGTAAGCAGTTTTCTGTGGAAACTGAAAGAGGTGGCTATTAAAATAGGACAAGAATATCAATATGACATACTAGTCCTCTAGATAGGCAACATTTGAATACTATAGGTAGTCAAATCACTAAGGAATGACTCTTTGCCTTTATCATTATGTTTGTTATTCTTATATTTTCTTCTTTTTGCATTTACCTATCTGCCCTAAAAAGATTGCTTTCGCCAATAAGGCTGCTTTATTGTAATTATAAATATGCTCTATCTACCTACGTCCGTGGTACTGCTCAAATATATGAGCGGCGGTTACCACATTCCATCATATGGGCTATCATCCACCCATTCCATCATATTGCTAGTCCAGTTACGTAAAAAAGTACCGGGTTGACCAGCCGATTCGAGAGATCGACGTTTTAGCGGCAGGAGCGCGGGCGACGCGCGTCATAAAACCGCGCAGTGCTTATCGCGACCAGAGTAAATCAACGCGCGACAGCGCACCGATCGTGACAAATTCAGGGACCTAATCTTTTGATAACAAATGTTGTTCGCTGAGACATACCTCCTACTGGGTGCTTTGATTGATTCGTTCTAAATTGGTAGACTTTAGAACCATTAAAACATATAATAGACACTCTGAAATACTTACTACAATGAAAGACTGCTGTATAAATGTAATCGAAATTAACTCATGTTCTACTCGTTATTAATTCGTGTCTTTACTAATATCCTGTCTATTAATTTTATCAATATTGTATATATTTTCATAAGTATTGGAGATATTTTTAATAGCTACAAATTATAATAGGTAATTTAAGCATACTGTAAATGGAAAAGATTCTTATTTACACGTATTTCTTAATATTGAGATTGAAGTTGAAGTCTTTGAAGCGCTGTCAAAATACTATTAACGGACTTAGTTCTGATACTAAACGAACATTGTACGATATATGTACATTGTACATATGTGTATATTAACTTGGTCTAAATCCATCTTTAATATTCAAACAATTCAAACTAATAAATATGAATAAAAAGTGTGTGTGTAAAACAATGAAAGCTCTTTCACGCACTATAAAGCGGTATTAATACCTCACTTATTTATTCCATATAATGTTCTCGAGTTAACGACGCCTTAGGCATTGCGTTTTTTCTACCACGCTCCATAAAATACGACATCTGGAAATATATTCCGGTCTCATTTGCTTCCAAACTAACCAGTTCATTTCAAACAGTCCCTGTTACATGTTGCCCTTTTTATACGGTATTCTAACAATATTTTATATCTAAAATAATTGTATTCGCAATTCTATCGATACGTATACTACTCTGTTTTTATATAATCGATCAATTAGTCATGATGGTGGAAAGTAATAAAAGATTAAGTACAATCGCAAATGCCACATAGAGCTCAGGGAAGTCGTAATGGGAGACAATTTGCCACACACCGTCACGCAAGCTTATCCGAGCCGGCCTCGTCGATTAGCATAAATCTCGCCAACTAACCGTCACAAATGAGCAGCGGACGCGGTGCGCGGTAACGGCTAAACAAACTGATGCGAGCGGCGAAGCAGCCGCGACACTCGCATGTCGCAGCGTCAGAGCACGACGAATCGCAACCGTCGCTTACCCGCATAAATCAGTATTATCTCGCGAGATAGCCGCGCGCCTGGACCCACCCCGCCATATCACGCGAAGCCCCGTGTCGTTCGAAAAAATTAATGACTCGGAAAAACGATTCGCTTATGAGGGATCTTTCACTGTAATTGAATTGCCCCACAGAGATCAGCTGAATTGTCGGGTGAGATCGCAAAGATGTGATGCCGAGTCAGGTGTATGAGACAATGTCATATTACATCTTCACATTATTTTGCGGATCAGGCAAAATTTCATGACGAAACATTTCCGTGTTGTACTGAAAACAAAACTGTTATGTAACAGGTTCTGTTAGTGATGAACAAACTGAAAAAGAATGAAATTTCTGTTATCTCTGTTGATCTGATTGATACTTACATCAAAAAAAGATAAAGAAGTTAAAGAATATTTAAGATTCACACTACTATCGCCATATGGTTATACATTATAACTAGGCCGTAGTTATGGATATAGATCAGTATATCAGATGTTTAATGCAATTTAACATGGTAAGCACGAATTAGAATTTATAAACATATATATGTATATATTCCATATATATATATCAATCTAACCGGGTTTGTAAAGATGACTGAATACCAAATATATAAATATACTTAGGTTACCTACTGCCTTTTGTTACTTGTGTAGTAAAAGTAGTGTAAAGGATCATATTTATGAATACAAAAATATGAAGAAATTGTGCTACATAAAAACAGAAATAAATACAAATTGAAAGTAATATAGAAATTTAAGTAAAAATCGGTTGTAAAATTATGGATGTTGTGACCTAAGACCTAAAACCATGACAAAGATTGACACTGAGCGAGTGATAAACCTCGTGAAAAATGACCTGAATGAATCTATAGACTAATCGTTTAATACCAAGTTAACTTACTCTTTGCCATCTTTAAGAAAATAAAACTATATATTTATATATTGCTCTGTATGGTCTTTATTAAAAAAATTAAACCCCTCAAGTGCTATAAAACTGTGTGCGAGATTATAATAATAAGCGTAATAGAATAATGTAAATATATGTCCGTCTGTCCGCCGCTAGTTGCCATGCTAATCGCGCGCGAAGCTAACGCGGTAAGCTCCGTTTTAAAACCTGTCCCTTTGTATACACATCTCTTTATTTTATTCAACGGGGATTCATTTTTCATGCGCTCTGCAAATATTTTGATGGTTGTCGGCTATGCAGTTTTAAATACGGTGGCTTTTATATTATAATATTCCATCTGATGTCCTATAAATTTATATTTGTTATTGTTTTGTGAACGAACTAATTAATATATTTGTTATTTATATGAAAGAAAATTATTTAATAATATTTTTTAAGTTTAAAAATGAAAATTTTGCACTAATTGAAATATTTAAAACCACAATATTTCACTTTCCTTCGACACCTAAATTCGCATGTCATAATTAAGAACAATCGAGTTATAAAACATCTAATCATCAACAAAAGATCTATTATAATAATCTTTATTTTAAAAAATGGTATCATTTTCTTTATTAGTTAATACCTATTTACCAAGCGCAGCTTGGGCGAACAACTAGTTTTGAATAAAATACAACTATTATTAATATACAATTCGCTGTAGTTTAAATGAACATGTTTCAGTTCATGATTTTACCGTTTGATCTGTAACGACTGTGGTGAAGATGTTTTCCATAGGTCGCGTTGCCAACACTTTAATCGTGGTCTCGTAGACTTGGCATACAACAGGCGATTTGATTTACTTCTCACCACCACTCTATGGGACATAAATCTCGCCACCTTAATATAAAAGCCGTTGCTTCTACACTCTGATCTTTGGTACGCTAACGGTATTGGTAAAATTGGACAAATCGTAATAAATTTTCAAAATCTGAATTATGTGAGTGTAGTTGTGTTGAGAGCAATAACACTTGTCTCGTATATTGTGTTTTCTTCGTAGACGCTTTGATCTTCAGATTAAATTAATTATGTTTGAATGAAATATGTTACACATAATAATATTTTACTTGCCTTTTATTAAATTGGCTGCAAGATTTTGAAGAATATTTGTTAGACATTGTTTTTAATGCTTGCTTGATAAGCTAATAATCATGACCCATATGAATTTCACCTGTTCGTGATATGGAATATTATTATATATCGGAATTTCCTCGATTTTGTTGTAAAGGTAATGTGATGACTTATA